TGGGAGTGAGCGAGCGGCTGCGTGGTGCTTAGTTGCCGACTGAAATTAAACCACGACAATCTTACAACTTGTAGCCTCAAGCCCTAAAAAGGTAAATACCTTCACAGCCATAAAATTACAGTCTGATGTTCTCAGCCCTAAAGGGAAAAAAAAGAGAGTTTTACCTCTTAGACACTCTGAATCAGTTCATGCTGCTACAGAAGAGAAGTATTCATTGTTCTATTTGAAGGAAGTTTTGCAGGCTCGTTTGAAGTTGCAAGTCCACACTGCCAAAATGCCCTAATAATCAGCCCTTGTGGTTTCAGTCTTGCAAGGCAAGGATGCAGAAACTGAACTTCCCTTTTACCCGTACACAGTTTTTCCCATTTCTTTTCCCATTTCAGTTCATAGAAATGAAGCAGGAACCTTGGGAACTTTAACGTCACTTTACTTCAGGAACTGCTAGCATCTTTGCTGTACTATTTTGCAAACATAACTTAGACCTCTGGGAACATCACTTTGTCACCTTTCATCATTACCAAACACACTCAAAAAGCTCCAGACAATAAAGTGAAATTCATATTTCTTGCACTAGAAAACTTCTTGGGCTTACCGTACTTTCTCATAGAGCCCAGCTCACCTTGCTTGTCAAAAAGAGCATGTTGCTATATTTTCACCAAATAATTTACTTGCTTCCTGGCCCACTTGGAACTACATAAGCATTTGGAGGTCAGTCTCCAAGGAAAAGAGTGCCTAACATTGAAAATAACACTCAAATAACAGCATTTTAGCTCCACAGGCATTGAAGTCTCTTCCTACAAGCTTACCTTCTTGCTGTAGGGTATTTCAACAGAGAGAAGTATTTCTTCAGGCTTAACTATTGTCTTTCTGTATCCGGTGAAAAACTTCTCATCCATCATGATAGTCCTTTTGCCCTCTGTAGAGCAAGAAGAAATGAATGGCGGATGAATGAGTAACTCAGATGAAGAATGGCAGTAGTATGTGTGAAAGAGCCTTCAACCTATACAAATCACTCTTGATATAGTATCAGTTTTCATTTTTCCACCCTCTTTCACTAAATCAGGAAGGATTTTCTCAGATTTACTTTGGTCCTCATGGAATCCATGACAGCTTCTGCCTCCATATGAAGTTTTATTTGCACAGGAACTGATCAAAGAGACCTCACTCCTTTATCTAATTAAAGCTGAGCCTCCAGGTGAACCAGTTTCCAACACCCCAATGTAATTTCTTCTTTCCCCTTTCTTTAGCCTGCGCACAAACCAGTACAAGAGAGTCACTGATCAGACAGTCCACTTACTTCAAGGATCCTATTTCAAAAAAATTCTTCCTAAGAGCAAATACGAATTGAGACATTTGGCTTTCTTCATAGAAAAAAACAAAACAAAACAAGTTTCAATCTTCATCTGAAAAATCCACAAGGATCAAAGTATGATAGTGACAGAAACAATTTCATGCCTATTGTTTTTCATTAATAGATATCTTCAACCAGCTCTTCACAAAGACATGTCTGTAAGTACATACACAGTACCAGAGATTCATTCTGGCACAGAAGTTCAAAATTCTTCAGGAAGCCAACCTTTGGCCTAGCCTTAGGACTTCAGCCTCAAAAAGGGCAAAACTCCTGAAGACTCAGACTAAGCCTATTTTACGTAACGTTAACTTCCACTTTCAAGTTCTGACCTGACCTAACAATCCATGGCAGAGGACTGTTGACTATCCCACTCCCCTCAGTGCCACAAGGAAATGTAAGTAACATACCATTTGATACCAAAGTCAGTTTGCTTCCACTTGCCATTAACACAGGATTTAAGTCAGAAATTGGGCTTGCTGTCATTATGTTCCCACCAAGAGCCTAGAGTGATAATATATGCATCAGATAAATATTAAAAAACCTGAAGATACAGCCATAGCATCTTGTAATCCTGCATTACTCCATACACAGTGCACTAGAGGTTAGCTCTGCTTGAGTTTGCTTTGATAAATTCTTTTTGCTCACTCAGCAATTTTAGGCCTTTAATGAAGTGCGAAAACGTAAAACCCATTAAATCAGTCACCGTCCCAGTCAATACTAACGTTTGCCTGAAACAGTTTTAGGAACAGTCTTTGGGTAATGCATCAAAACTACCTTACGCTCAAACCATGTGTGCCCAACAATGCCAAAATTCAATCACTGTAGCTGCAACTAAGGGAAGATCCATTAAAGTATAGAGCATCTTTTCAGTATCATTCAGGAACCCAAGTTTTTTGGCTGCAATACAAATGTACGGCACAGTATCTTGTGGAACAAAATTTTGCTTGGTAGGTTGGTTCATCTGCTTGCTTGATAATTTTTTCTTTTAGTATACAGAGTTTGAACATACCGAACCCACCTCCTCTTTCCCTTTAAAACTAGAGGAAAATTTGCCAGATCTGATGCATTAACAGTATGACTATCATAGTTGTGCTGGCAAAAATCTACACACCCGCTTCTTCCAGCACCCTAAATACATTTTTGTGAAATTAGTCAAATCTCACTACTTATCCTGATAACAGCAATGGAAGACCTGGACAACTGCCGTGTTTCTCTTGCTTGCTAAATCTGTGATATCAGTGTAGCACAGATTCCAGCTGAGACCCATGATGCTGTCAGTTCCTGAGGCTGGTTTATGTGTACGAGCTTCTTTGCCTAAGTTTGCAAATGTTCTCGTGTGAGAAGCACAAGGCACACCAACATTGGATAAGGCAGGCCAGCTCCTCAGACCGAGCTTTCAATTCCAGTTCCTGACACTCCTGAGTCACTTACGGCAACATTCCTGATCTGTGGCCCTGCAAACCACCGCAGCTGTTCAAGGACAGCCTGGAAGACCTCTGTTTTGTAAGGAGGAAGCTCTGCCACCACTTTTCTCAGCACCTCCTCTACTGAGCTCAGGGTACAGGCAGCGCCGAAGGTGACCCCTGTAAACAAACAAATGAAAATTTGTTTTAACCATCTTATAACTGTGTCTACAAAGCTTAGATGCCACTGAGTTTAATTAGACAGCAGGGTTTAGAGAACACATTCAGTCACACTAGACTATTTTGTATGCACTACATGTAAACATCACATCCTCAGAACAAAATTCACCTTTAAATCACAGCTCATGGTGGTACTGCCTCTCACGTGACAGTAACCCACCGCCCTTTTGCCTCAGTATATTATGAACAATATTGCCCTCCTATAGATATTAATTTGTCCTTTGAGAAGTGAACTCCAACTCCTGTCCAGTTTCCACACCTTAAACATGCTACCAGGCATTGGGCCAAGTGCACTACATTGTCCTAATTACTTCTAACTATTTGTAAGGTTGACCTGTTTCCACCACAAAGATAAATGCAATACTTCACTTAGTCACCTGACTGTCAAATCCAGCATCTTTCCCCCAGTTACTAATTCTAAAATCTTTCTAAATAAAAAGATTGCCCATTGAAACCCATTATTAACCCAGTTAATATACATAAAACACCATGCATCAAACAGATAAAATGTCTAATATACCTTCTAGCGAAAGCCCTCTTTGATTCTCAAAATATTTCTACGTATCACTCACTTGATTCCCTGCATGGGAGAGGCATTAATGCATACAGAAAGCAGTTTTTAATCTGGGGATTTTCCTTCATATCTTCTTTATTATTCTGTGGAGTCCCCACTCACTTCACAGGCATTCTGCCTCTTTTTTGCTCACCTGTTTCAGTGTGCTGAACAGCGTTCATTTCAGAGATCCATGCTGGCGCTATTATCACTGGATACAACATGTTCTTTAACCTCATCTCAATACCTTAAGGAAAAGTAAGACTCCTTCAGTTACACACAGGTGACAGAGAGCCTAAGTTAACTGTTTCCCAATGAAATGGCAGCAGGCATATTAAAGAGTCAGTTCATTGACCATCTGTTACACAGATTATATAAGGTCACAGAGATACCAGACTAAAAGCTGTTTTCCATGAATGCCAGAATTCTCATAGGGAAGTTTTAGAAACTCTTCTCTAGGCTTACAATAACCTTAAATACACTGTTTAGTACTTGTGTAACCTGGCTATTGTTGTACATAATCCTTTAGGAAAGAACAATGAATACAATGAACCATACAAAGTTTAGGGATTGTCTCCCAAACCAACTGCTCAGGATAACAGAATTACTAAATACGTCTAAAATCTCCTCCTCAGCACTTATGTTTGCAGAAGTATATATTTGGGGGGGAAAAGACAGTAAGATTTCAAGTCTTGAGAGTTTACTTATTGAAATATCTTTCAAAACGCAGGTTTCACAACTGAATTCATTTGATTATGAGGACATTTTATGCTGTGCCACTCCCTTCTTCTCAAAATTCCACAAAACTAGCACAAAAGCTCAGAGGTCTAGATAAGCTTTTTTTTTTTTTCACCCGACACCGCAAAGAACAGAGAAGAACATTCACTGTGAGATTAATCTACCTGAGAAGAAAATTTGTTCCTACATACAACCTGAAGATTAAACAGCTATTTAACAGCAATGGCATGGAGGAGGTTTACATTTGCACTGTTCTCACAAAATACTCCATGGAAAGTTTTCCAGCTGCTCATAATGAGCATCAGCTCTTCCTCTTACCCACTTCTGTATTCCCCACAACGAGCTTGGCATTGGGGTACTGGGATTTGAGAGCCACCAATTCCTTGAGAGTTGTAGGCTGGATCCACATCACACGCTCGCCTTTGAAACACAGCTGTTTCTGCTGTTTGTTACTCTGAGTCTGCAAAAGTGAATTCAGATAGAGCTCAGATCCTACATCAGGCCAAGAATCCCTGCTCGCATGCTGCCCATACCTATGTCAGGCCAGGCTCCATCTCAGTCAAGTTACTGACAGGTAGCTGTGATATCCACACTGTTGCTGGCAGTTAGCCATTCCCCATCCTTCTGCTGGCAGTGACAAGAGTCTTTTTCATGCTGACAAAAGTTTTCCCTTCCTGATATTGCCAGGTGCATCCTGCTGCCGCATCTCCCCAGCAAGACCTCTGCCAGCAAGCTCCATCTGACCAAAGTTCTGGCAGATGCCTGTGGCTTCAGCCATCTTAGAAGTAATGGGTTTTCCATTCTCATCTCACTGCAAAAACGTCAGTCTTTAGCACTGCTGAATTTGAGTTACCGGCTGTAAGGCCAGATTGTGGTTCCCTTTTTAATTCCTTCATCCAGTGACTGAAGAAAACAGACTAACATGGCTGCCTCCCAGCAACATCAGATCAACCCTTAGGCAGGAGAACGTCTTAGCGAAGAAACAGAGGGGACCTATCTCAAGCTAAATATATATTATGCTATGGTCTATAAGAACCTACTCATGCTGTAGCTCACGACACATTTAGCCTGGGTGCAGCAGCAAAACTAATGATTTAATTTCAGTTGCTTACTAAATGTGAAGGAAGCTGTAAACATGCCATGTGCTAGACTAGATTCCTGGCTGGGACACATTTGCTTGGGGGAAAACTACCCCAAAAAAGACAGGAATGAAACATGGAGAGAAACTAATCTCACCTAACTTTTGATGTCAGTGTGAGCCAGCCAACTTCTACTCCTGCTACACTGAGTGGAGAGAAGTCGGTGCTTTCGGGAAGTCGTCTAGTTGAAACGTTCAGCTACATCCCATAGCTCCTACTTCTCTTCCTACACTATAAAGGGAGCACAGGGCAATCAGCTCAGATACGGCTGTATTTAATGTAGAAGTTCACATCTGACCTAGTAAATTGAAATCTAGATGTCAGCAACTGTTCCACCCCTGGATAGGCAGTGACCGGAAAGGAAGGCAACCCAAGAGCAGGCGTGCATGGTGAGAAACAGAGAGGAAAGCCAGCCAGCTGGGGCAGGCACTTGGCCTGCATATCTTTTAAGCCACCCTCGCTTAAAAGCCTTCCCTTTTATAAAACAGGGAAGCGTTCATGCCCATGCATCATCTTTTATCAGCAGCCACCTTTTGCACTGACATTTCCTCAGGGCAGAGATACTAAGGACACTCAAACCCTGTGCAGAACAACAAAACCACAAACCACATACTATTTCTTTTTGAATGAACTTACCATTAACTCTGGTGGGAAGATTGGCTCCTGTGTAGGGTCCAACGGCTGGAACTCAGAAGAATTGAACAGGCTGGAGGACATCATTGTCTACGACAGAAAATGCAAATGGCTGAGCAGCAGAGGAGAAAGCTACCCACATACAACCCTAACTCATTCCTCTTTCCAGTCAAATCCCTATTACTATTTCATGGAGCAAATAGCAAACACAGTGAAAAGATGCCACCTGATCCAGTGTTTCAGGTTCTTCAGTCATTTTTCTGATCACAATGCATGTCTGGTCATGCACTGAACCCTGAACACACTAACAGGTTTTTGCCAATCAAAAATGACATCACTTTCACATTGGCACGTTAAATTACATCAAAGGTACCTTTTCTGAGGTAAGACCAGAATAAAATATAAATTAGTCTAAACTGCTTTGCATAAATACAGCTAAATTAAAAGCACTGGGCTTTGGCACAGAACAAGCCAGAGCTAAGACTTCAAAACATCAGAAATAGAGAAAAAACAAATAGTTGAGAAGCACCTTACCACATTGTCTTCTTTTTCATTCATGCAGCAGCCTGGACCATTGGCTTTTCCTCCACAGCAGCCCCCATTCTGAAGAAGAAATAAGCACGCTTCAGCTATTCTACACAAAGTCAGAACATTCCAACTTTTACAGGATATATTCCTCCCCTTTTATCAATCCCTGGATTGCAGAAATTTGCAGTAACATTTTCATTAATAAACTACTTTGATGAAAGAACTCCAAGCAGTCTTAATTGCTGGAGTATTCCATGCAACACTGGATGCTTCCAAACAAAGAATCCACAGGAATTCACTGGAATTTCCTGGCAAAGAATTTCATTATATTCTCTCTTTCCTAAATTCATTTTATACTCACACTACCTTATGTACTAATTCCTTGTTTTCATCCCTCCATTGTTTGTACCTCAACTGGTACAGAAAATGTGATTAACTTTTTTCCTCCAGATATTCCAAAAGGTTCCAATTGTACAATTTATTGGAATGGTGATTAAATTACTTCATTATCATTGGACTGTAAAGTTTGGGAAAGATCACACTGAGGAATTAACTGGGTTTTAGATCTGTTTTCACAGAAAGATGGATTGCTTCAATATACCAGAAGCTGGTAACACATTGCTTACAGTTGTCACCATGCTGTTTCACAAAAGTGTTGCACCGCACAGATTCAGAAGGAACATATCTAGCTCACTATTGTAAAATCTGTGTCATGACGGCTCGTCATGCTAACCAGGACATATACAGTCACAGTGTTTTCCAAGAGACAGACATTCAAACCAGCTCAGACAGCTCTGAAAATCCGCACCACAGTAGAGCCAGAGAGGTGACTAATACATCAAAACTTTAATACTATATTGCAAATTGAGGTTATGGCTTTTAAAATTCAGCTTACCATGCTATTTTCCCTCTCACTACGACAGCATCCAGTACCATTGGCTACTCTGCCACAGCAATTCAAGTCCTGTGGGGACAAAAACTGTTCTGAAAAAAATGTGCAGATTCCAAGGAAATGAAGTAGACTTGATTCCCTTTTGAGAGAAATTGATCCCACATTTATTATATCCAAAACAGAAATGGGAGATGGAAGGTGCCAAGCAAGCAGGTGTTTCCCTTGCCAATGGAAGGCAGTATTCTGCAGTGTGATGGCTAGGTCATGTCCAGTTTACTGACAGACCTCTAGTTCTGATTTAGAACTACTCTGACCATTCAGCCAGTATCTCTGGTCCAGCTGGAGCTGTGAGGAGATATCCAGAGAAGAGTAAAAGGGACAAGTACATACAAGACAATACCTAGTACTCTACCAGCATCCAACTGCATTCAGCTCAGGGGACCACCTTAGCCCAGTGTGGTTTCTGTCTCTTTAGTAACCCTCAGTAGCTCCCGCCCAAGTACTGCTCAGTCTCCCCCAGAGCCCCTGTAAGTTTTTGGTGCCCACAACACCCTTTTGGTGAATTCTGCAGGTCAGCTACCTGGTACATGGCAGACCATCTGCCTTTGTTTTCAACCTGACTCCTACTAGTTTCATTTCTTGACACCTTGCTCTTGTATTGGAAGAGGCAGCAAACAGCAGACACCTGTCCACATTCCACCTGCCAGTCACAATTTTGTAAATCTCTATCAGAGGTCAACACAAACCACTATATGGGCTACGTAGAGCCCCTTCCCCTCCCTGACATCTTTTTTCCAGGCTGAAGCATCCCAGCCTGCTCTGTGCTTCCTTGTATGGAAGCCAGCTACCACAGATGTGATCCTTATTCCACTTCTCTGAATCTTTTCCTATTCTGCTATACCCTGTTAGAGATGAGAGGACCAGAACTGCACAGTAGTCAAGTGTAGGAAGAGCTATGATGCAGTGGCATGGCAGTGTTTTCTGTTTTGTTCTCTACCCTTTGAAGTGTTGTTTTGATGGCCAGTAAGCATTGAGCTGGTGCTTCTGTGGAACTGTACCACACCTCCAAGATCATCTTCCTGCATGGTAACAGGAAGATGATCTTGTGTCTGCTCGCAGCCTATCATTTTATATGTGGAATGAGGACTGCCTTTCACTCTGTAAATTGCTTTGCATTTATTTGCCCTGAATTTTGTATCCCATTCTATTCTCCAGTCTCTCAGGTTCATAAAGTCCTTCTGAAATTCCTCAAAGTCTGTTCCTGTCTTCACTACGCAGACTAACTTGGTATCAGTTAACTTACTTTCTCGCATCACTGCTCACTCTCTTTTCCACCTCATTTAGGGATATCTTGAACAGCCTTGCTCCCACCACAGGTCCCAGCAGAAGTCCACCAGTGACCTCCCTCCATTGCAAAAATACACCATTTTCTCCTACCTGCCATTTCCTGCCTTTTAACCAATCTTTCATCCATACAGAGATCTTCCCTCTTACCCCATGGCTGCTTATTGTCTTTAAAAGCCTTTGGTGAGACACTGTTGAAAGCCTGTTGGAAATCCAAGTAGACTATATTGACTGGGTTTATCAAACATTTGTAATGGATCTCACTCCTGCCTATATTCTCTTTTGTTGATCGTAATTCTGGATAATAAAACGAAATTAACAGGCAGCATTCTAAATTCTTTACTTTTGATATTTAATACCAGTGTAGCCCCATAAGTGGCTAGTAATCACTGAAGTACCTAATGATCTACTTTCCTTCACAGCCTCCAGCAGTCTTTCAGGAAAAAAGGGACTAGAGAAAACTTATGGCAAAGCTTTGTACCTCATCCAAACCAGCAGATGAGTTCTGGGCAAGAGCTATACAGCAGTGACTTCAACTTCTTTCCAGAGCTATTTCAGCTCTGCAGCTGACCTTTCAAGAAAGCAACTTTCTCATCAGATTCCCCCACAGTATGTCCCTATTCGTGCACCATACCGTCACACTTTTTCCACATCAGGGATCATCTGCAAGATGTATCTTGTAGAGACGCTGAGTTTTTCAGAGACTTACAGAAAAGAATTACAGATTCTGATTACCTGTGATCCAAAAAGTGACCATCAGGCAGATATTATTAAAGTGCTCCACTTCCAGCAACTGGAGTAAAGGAGTTGGTCTTCCTGCATTATTAATGCACGAAGCACATACAAAGGGGTCAAGAGTTGGAGCTGGGTTGTTGTAGCATGTATATTTCCTTGCTCCCCATTTCAGCTCATGGTGTATTTTAGTAACAGAGAGAAAGACAGCCAGCCTTCCAGATTTTTTTAAACATTATCTGAAGCCACTTACTTTAGCAAATGTCCTGTATCCTTCCAGAATAGGTCTGTACCCTGTACACCGACACAAGTTCCCTGCATTGCCAGAGCAAGAAGATAAAGATTTAGTGTCATTTGGCTGAGAACTTTTCCTCTTTTAGAACATTTTATTGTTTCTCACAAAAGCTTGTCAAATCTAGATAAAGCTAATGAAAAAATGGGAGAAGGACAATTTCACTAGTAATCTTGCAACAATCCTACCATCCCTTTTTGCTAAAATTTTAAATTGAAATTAATTTCGAAAAAAATTCAATCTGCCTTATTCAGTATTCATTTACCTCAATTGTGTGAGTCTAATCAGTATACCAACTATCCAGTCTCCTGAATTACAAACAGGTTGCTTTCTCCTGCATCTGATTTCTTCTTGGGTCACTGCCAGAAGCATGGTAACAACTCTAACCTCAGCAATAACAGCAGCCTCTCAGATGATTTACACAACTGGATTCTGCCCCACTCCATCATGTATATTGCTGTCTTGGTCCTTTACTTGAGGTTGGCTGGCCCAGATGCTCTCCGTCACCTCTGCAGGCTCTGGTGACAGCAATGAATAAACAAGGAGATGTGGAGGCTCTTATAAGCCCCCCAGGGACAGGCCACCTTTTCTTCTGTGTTAAGCTTAGTGGGGTCCTAATCCAAGACTGAGGCCACTTGCCCCAGCTTCAGGACAAACAATGAGCTTCTGTGAGATTTTCCACAGGCCATTTTTGTTCACATCAAAGCACCTGGCCAGTCTCCCAGTGGAAAAGCTAGTTCTTAACCTCATAACAATCGGCTATCTTTAATGAAATACATTAAAAAAAAGTGTACCTCCATCCCATTTGGTGAAGCAGATGTAATGAAAGCAGAACAGGTTGCATTTCTGCAGGGCTATAAGTATTACCTTGGAAAGCATCTTCTATGTCCTCCATTTTGGGCTCGGGTTTGTTCCGAAGCAATGTATACATGGACATGACAATGCCTGGAGTGCAAAAGCCACACTGGGACCCATGACTTTTTGCTATTCTCTCCTGAGAAAAAGTAACAACAACCATCAGTTAATAATATCAAGGTGAGTTCATTGTTGTACTTGTTTTTAACATCTCTGTTAAAAAAAACCAAAACAAAATCTCACCAGAGGAGCTAAGACTATCATCAGATGTTCTCTGATGAGATGGACAATTAATCTGTGAAGTAGACTTCAAAGAAGAGAACATTCTGAAAAGTTTGCAACTAGGCTTTGAACTCCCAATGTAACTGAAGGCAACTAGAAGCCTCCAATGAGATCAGGAGTTCTTCAGATTTACCATGCTAGAAAGGTTGGGGCTACCTGTATAGACCTGAGTTTGAATTTCAAAGCTTAGCTGTTAGAATCTTCAGAGGAGGCAGGGAAAAGAAGACAAGCAAACAAAGGTCAGGCTAGCTGCCATCCATTCATGTGTCTAACATTTTTCACTTTGTTGTTTACTGTCTCAGATATTGGCACAAGTCCTATCCACTGTACAAACTGAGATGAATCATCATTTCCCTTAAAGAAGCAGTATCTCTGACAAAGCTGAGGTAAGACTGCTTCCATAAAAAGTACATAACACCTTGCTAGAAGAGCAAGGCTTCACATTCCTGTCACTCCTCCCCATCAAGAATATTTTGGGACTCCAGAAACATTGCTGAACCAAACCTTACTGCACCATTGCAGGGAAGGTTCCTAACTATGCAGGACAAGACACCAAGGTCATTCATGGAAGGCCATAGGAGAGCCAAAACCTAACTCAGATTTCCTGGCTCCAAGTCACTATATAGGCTTTCACCACAACATCAGTCTTCCCAGTTCCTGGGATTTGGATGTGGACCAAGTACAGCCACGTAGCCCTAGAACAAAAGCATTAGCAATTCAGCCAGGACAACATCAGTTAACTTGCTAGGGCATAACAGAGCTGCAGCATTCACCCAGGAGTTTGATTCTGTCACTTAGTCATTCCTGCAAGTAAAGACTGCTCATGTGGAAAGTCAAACTCCCTGCTTTAACATTAGGATGGAGGTCCCAACACCCTGGAACAGGATTAATTAACAGAAGAAGAAAACATGGATAGAGGGTTTTAAAGTTACCAGTATTAATAGCCTACCTGGGCTGGGTGCAGCCTGGATTTTGTGTTTCCTATGCCTTCAACAGTAGTTACAGCTACATGATGCAGGGCACAGACAGGGAAGAGGCAAGCATTGGCAGTATGGTGGCTAAAATAATAAATTAAGGTCATTTCATTTGACAGTGCTGCTCAACAAAGGAAAAAGGGAACAGGTGGACTGAAGAGTACTCAAACTGTAGCAGTGGACACAATAGAACTTCAACAGATGCGTTATAGGTATTAGTTGCAAGCCAAATCCTACAGCACCTACTCAGCCAAAGTTCTCATCAACTTCCCTTGAAGTTTAAACTGAGTATGCACCATAGGATTTGACCTAGAAATAACTTTAAACATCCTCGTTGCACGTTAAGCTACAGAATGCATGTAAGTAATTTATAGGGGCAGACTACAAATACCAAGATGTTATACAGCTAGCCTGGCCCACTCGCAAAGTTACAAAGAGCTCTTAGCCTTTTACCTGGGAAATCTTTTCTAGATGGTCACACAGGGGAAAAAAGTCCAGGCTGAAGGTAAAATAGAATACTGTTGCCAAAATTCTTAAAGGAACTAGCTACTTTATCTCATTTCTATCAAGACAGAATAGTGACCCTAAAGATACCCTATTCAAGGCCACGTTCCTAAGCAGAACCACTAAATTAGATGATCCCAAGTTAAAGCATCTCCAAGCATTATTCCAAATATATCCAAGACTTCAGTGCTTTCCATTCCCCACAGTAAAAATAAACTGAGGCCTCTGCCTCATCCTCTCTCGCCATTCCCCTTTTTGTTTGATTCCATTGCTTCGCTCTTCAATTAATTAGAGAACAGGAGGAAAGTTTATCTCTCAGGAAATAAGAGTCATTCTGAAGGTTACAATAGAAGTAGAGGAAAAGTTAATATCTGCCGGCATACAGAAACCAGATTATTGTAGTAATACAATAGCAATAAAGATTTTATCACAGTAATCATCATTCGGGTCATCACAGCAAAAAATTACATTGCAAGAAAGGAACATAAAGGTTTTCTGAATTAGGAAAAGGCAAATAGCCTGCATGCTAGAGTCAGTGCAGATATTTCAGGGCACAATGAAATAGTTCCCTATCAGCACTGTGCAATGCTGTAGGAAAAAACACCTTCTTGTCTTAGCCTTCTGAGTTTATGTTCTGAAAGTGAAAAATTATGTTTTGGCAGAAACATACATTACATAACTTTTTGTTTTTAAATAGTACCACGTTTGGAATGTCAAGAACCTGGATCTGTCTCCATTTCATTTCTCTGCTGAAGAGTTCAGACTGCAAAGGATACAGGATTTTCTTCTGAAAGGGATCATACTTGGATATCATAACAGTGCAAGCACCACATCCACCTTCTCCACAGCCTAGTTTGGTACCACATAGGCCCACTGAGAGAACAGGAATCAAGGAAAACACGAAGAGTATTGGCAGAAGCCTGCTCAAACAGTTATCAATCAAGGCCTAGCAACAAGTTCTTGCTGGAAACCAAGCACTCGTTTTTTCTGCTTAACTTAATGTAACATAAGCAAAGTTTCAAATGCTGGCATGTGAGCTTTGAGATCAACACCCAAAGCCCTAACAGGGAGGCAGTCCATGTTTCAGTAGACTCTTAGAATAAACAATAAATTTCTGAACTCCAACAGTTCCCGCTTTCCATTAGATTCAGAAAAGGAAATTACATAAGGGAGACAAAGCACTCAGTAATTGCTGAGCAGCAGCTGTTCAGGCATGCAGCCACATCCCTGAGATGCATGGTGACATCTCCTTCAGTACCTCTCACCAGTGGTCGTTGACTTCTTCCTACACCTGGTGATTCCTACCGCCTAGAAGGCACCCAGACAGGGCAGTCACGCAGTGCTACAAGTCACACAGTTGAGCACTGACATGGGAGCTGCACTTGAACTGCTCACAAACTACCTGCATCTCAAGAGTCATGGTCTGGCCACCCTAGCTTCAATTTTGGCCCCATTTTTGATTACTTTCCCATTGCTAGGGACAGAACCAGCCAAGCACACTCCCCAGTAGCCTGGTTCCCATAAATCACAGGAGGGAGGCACTGAGAGCCAGAACTAGCAGAGATGCACAGAACCATTGCACAGACACTTGGGAACTCACAAGGTGTATGGACTGGCCTAAGATGATTCCTCCACAGGCTGCAGAGCGCATGTCTGTACTTTACAACCAGGCATTACATCAAATGTTCCGCAAAGGGATTTCAGAAGACAATTCCTTGGGTCACATCTGCTTTGGGTTCCTAAACTCATTAGAAGGTAATTAGATGCTGTTATTTATTGTGAAGAGGATTGGCCAATGCTGAGAGACTTTTGGTGGGAAAACAGCAGCTGCTTTCATTGGCAATGGACACATGCCTGTGCTGAGATAATCAACTTAGGCCTGTGGAAAAGCAACAGGCATCATGATATAGGGAACTCAAATCATCTTTACCTTCACTGCAAAGATTCTGGAACTGACTATTTTCATAGAATGATGAAATCATAGAGGCATTACATCAAATGTTCCGCAAAGGGATTTCAGAAGACAATTCCTTGGGTCACATCTGCTTTGGGTTCCTAAACTCATTAGAAGGTAATTAGATGCTGTTATTTATTGTGAAGAGGATTGGCCAATGCTGAGAGACTTTTGGTGGGAAAACAGCAGCTGCTTTCATTGGCAATGGACACATGCCTGTGCTGAGATAATCAACTTAGGCCTGTGGAAAAGCAACAGGCATCATGATATAGGGAACTCAAATCATCTTTACCTTCACTGCAAAGATTCTGGAACTGACTATTTTCATAGAATGATAGAAATCATAGAATCATTGAGGTTGGAAGAGATCGAGTCCAACTGTAAACTTAACACTGCCAAGTCCACCACTAAACCATGTCCCTAAGCACCACGTCTACTTTTCATACAATCATGTGTCTGCTTCAGCAAAAATATCTTTCCTATGCCATCCAATGTTTCTCTTGACAACAGTGCTAATCTGCCTCAATAAAACACGTTTCTCAAAGTATTTGTCTGACCCTAACCAGACATCTACAAAATAAGTTCACCAGAATGTTCATGTAGAAGATCAGAAGGTTTTGAAGGGCTCCGATCATCTCTTTACAAAGCTATTTGCATTAGATATTAACAAGCTTAGACATAAAAGGTCTAGTGGTAAGAAGTGCACACAGGCACAAGAGTCATGCCACTTATTTTTCCTCTTGAACTTTATCCACCCAAGGTACACTCAAACAAAATAGGGCTGTTGATAGTTCTACTGGAAACCCCAGAGAGGAGTGTGATTTATATCCCCGTACTCCTTTCAGATCCCAGACAAATAAAACATGGCAGCATCGTGAAATAAGTTTGCATGATTCTTTTTAAGGAATACACCAACACAGATGTGAACAGTTTGGCATATATAGACACCCAGCTGGTCAGACAAAAACTCAGAAAACATGGAATGACACTACCTACTGAACCAGACCTAGTATAGCCAGCCTGGTCATCACAGTAATAGCTACCCAGCTCCTGAAGTTAATCTGACTCATGTGTTGACCAGTTGCAAACAGGAGTGAAACGTGACTGCTTGCATCCGCTCGTGTAAACATGCCCGCAGTACATGGTGAGAACCCCTGCCTCTGAGTTTGCATCCCTGGGTCATCTGATAGGCCACAGGATAATTAAGTTATTGGATATTAACTCTCCAGTAATATCCAAATTATTGGATGATACAGCAAGCAGCTCAAGTGACTGTAATATTTTGGCCAAAAAATCCTTTACAATTTGTGTGGAACAAACCTAAATTTCCTCTAATTTTATTGTCATCTCAATATTGCTTTCAATTCCTAGCAATTCTGTGAGTTTTCCCTTTAAAGTATTAATAAATTATTTAAAGTTTATTTAAAGTATATTATTTAAAATTTGCTATTGTTTAAGCTTGGAATACCAGCTGTAATCTTTGCCAGCAAGAATTAGCAGACCACGCACAGCACTCCCTCCTATACTCTGTGCACAAGCTCTGCCTAGCACTCAAGTGACAGGCAGAACAGTAAACAATTATGAAATGGTGTAGGCATTTAAAGCCTTCTGCAGTTTCTTCTGACACTGGATACATTTTCTTCGTAGATAGGTTAGCAGAGTTGTTTCTGGGTCCACATCTTTTTCCACCACCTGCAAGAAGGGAAAGGTACTGTTACACACAGAATGCTTTACAACACAGATACATTAGTTGGAAGGAGAAAGTTTGGTCTTTCTGCAACTTCTCTTCCAAAGCAGGGAGCAGAACCACTGATTAACTCCCCTTACTAGGTTCAGCAATGTTGCTCACATATCCAGTCACAACGTTTCCTTGAATTTATCGTGACAGAGAGAAGTATATGCATTACATACATCAGAGTTTTTCAGCCATGGCACACTGAGGCAAACCTTAAAAAACCCTTCATCAAAAATGGCAAACAGAATTAGTAGTGAGCTGAGAGAAAGAACTGTGTTTTGTACTTGAGTTTTGAATTCCTGACATCTCCCCAAATTGTATCGCATCTTTATTGATGATGCATAACTGACCTCTGTCCCTTCTCCTTCTTACTATTAGAAGAGACAGAGAAAATGAGCAGATAAACAGAATGACAGAAACAGCATCAGTAATAGACTTTGCAGAGGAAAAAAACAGAGGAAACCCTAACATGACCAATACAGTTGCTGCAGGGCAGAGAGCAAGTACTAATCATCTTGTAGTTTCTCTTTCTTCCCTGCTAACATTAAATCAATCAGTGTTACATTAGTAGCCATCCTAAATATGTGAATGTGAAATTCCAACCAAGGAGAAATTTTCTCTGCACATTTTGAGTCAGCTCCATCCTATTTGTGAACAACACTATTAGCAGTTATCTATTAGACATAAAATTAGATTTTACTTCAACCTCTGCCCGATGGTCAGAAACCAAAGTTCTACCCTTGGCTCCACATGGCTGCAGAGCTTGTCTTCCCCTTTTTCTGTTATTAATAGAGTGTCAGGAAACTTTTCCAAATTCACTGAGTGCCAGAATGTAATCATGTGTTCTAGGCTCTTACATTGTGCAAGTCCTAAGTACAATGGTTACAGTTTATTTAAATTAAACACTCCCAGTTTGAAGGGCAAATTGAAACAGAGGTCATTTGTGTAAGACTTTTTTCTTACTGATAAGAAACCTTCACAACCTCTGTACTGCTTCTATTTTATGCCTTTGACACGTGACAGGGTTATTCTAAAGAGACAATACTTCCTATTTGAGTCCATGTTTTTAGAACTATCCAGTAAAGTTGCTGCTACAAAACACAACTGGTCATTTTTTGCACATCTCATTCCTGCACTGGGGATAATCTACAGGGAAACAGGGTTCATTCTTCTAGCTTGGGGATGTCTTACTGTAAACCATGCAGCACTCATTGCTGCTATTCAGAGGTTCCCTCACCTTCTGGATGCATAGAAACAAGTAAGAGCATACAGTGGTGCTCTCATGACCAGTTGGTTCAGAGTAGGCACATACATCCCTCTGCAGTAGTTTGGTAAACAGACAGACATGAGCAGGTAATTCCAAAAATGCCTGTGACTATGAGCGTCCCATGGACAAAAGGCCTTTCACAGCCATTTGACAGGCAAAGAGCCTTCCCCAGCAACTTATACCCTCACTGTCAAGCTGAGTTTCTTCCTCAGGGCTATGCCAATGGCCATTGCAAACCTTTCCAAAGCAGCTTCCAAGATAGCCAGGCACAGAGAAAAAGCTCCAGAATAGTTTTTCAGATGGTTAAAGACTATTGAGATTATTCTATGCTTAGGTCAAAGAAAAGGTCTCAAGAAGTTTTCTTGAAAGAATCCAAAAAGCACTCCATTATGTACTCAAACCAAGCAATTAAGTTTGGCCCAATGGCTTCTTTTCAGGAAGTAAGAAAGAAAACACGGGCCAAGCCTTCCTTCATCAAAGCATTTAGCCACTCGGCTCCACACACTTTTAGTGAAGTACTTAAGCATGTGTTAAGTCCCAAAGTCAAACCTTTGCTCAACTTTATCAGAAAGCAGCTCCCACTATGCAGTAGAACATGTCCTGAATAACCCACACTCATCCTGTTCAAACCAATAGCCCAGGATTCCTACTTCAGTCACTTCAAACTACTCCACTGTAGCTGTATATCTGCAATGCTGGCAGAGACTTGGGATCAGAGGGAGATAAGGGGTAAGAGTTTGGAGGACATGCTGGATTAAGCCAAATCTCACACGTCAGAGAGCAAGGAGTCATTTCTTTGTACTCAGATTCCTGGTGAGGGGATGCTTGTTTATGAGTCTCTCTTGCTGGCTACAGAGTAAGAACTCTACTGTTCCTGCCGTTTATTCATTGTCATTGATGCTGGTTTTGTCCTCCAACATATCATTCCTCCAGTGGTTTGTTACAATCACCTGCTGTGATTTGTTCTTAAAATATTTTAAAACCCTGTGGGTGGGGATAACATCTTCTCTTGTCTGATGCCCAAAACAATATGATTCACAGCTCAGTATCTTACCCATCAAAACAATTCTTGCTCACCTTCCCCAGTGTCCTTGTACAGAAAGAAACTGAATTATATCCATTGCCTTCAGTGGGAGTAGGATCAACCTACTTAGATATTGCAATTAAAGAAACATTACTTTTTTGCTCAGTTACTGGTTTTTAGGTTTTTTTTAAACCAAATGTCATATTGTCAGATACATCAGTTTGATGGCTACATTTTGACAGATTTTACTGCATGTGTTAGCTTAAATATTAATCAAATGCAGAAAGAAACCTTGCAGGAAATATTAGGGGGATACTGACAGTCAAATGACTCCCAACAAATTTGCTCTGTACTGCTGTGTTTGTACTACACATCTATTTGTCTACTGATTCTAGGAATCTTAAATACTCAGATCACCTCAGCAGGGAGCCCAGCCTGGTCCTACAGTTCTTCAAGCTTTAAGTACTACACGGAATAAGTTCCTAAGCAGTACTCTACACTCTTAGAGTGTGGGCTGGTCCAGAGAGGTGTTGAGCTCACTTCCCCATGATTTCATGTACAAAACTTGGATCTCAATAAATATTGTTTGCTGTCTTTGCTACCTGCCTTCCACTAACTCAGATAACTTTGCCTTTACAACATAAAGCATCATATTTAAATTAGTATTCCCAGAAAGTTAAAGAAAGGAGTTTTCAATTTAAAAGAACAATAGTTGAGCAAGGTAAATAGAATAACAAAAAGGAAAAGAAAACAGAAACTTTCCTAGTTTACCAAACAACATGCTAAGCTTTCCATCAGCTAGGGTCTTTAAATGAGAAACAGATGCTTTTCTGAATGACAAGTTCCCATTCAATCACTAGTCCCCCCTAGACACTCAATTAGTTGCAAGAAGAGAAGGTGAAAGGTTTTAACCAGACTGCCATGCAGCAAGCCAGACTAGTTGACTGTAAAGGTCCCCTAGGACCTTAAAAATCTGTGAATGTGTATTCCCGAAGTCAATGAGAGATTTCAAATCCATTTACCAGGGAAAAGGATTAGAACACAGATGAACAAACTGAATATAACCACACAATGTAAATCTGCTATTGGTCGTGAGAACATTTTGTTCTGCTTTAAACCAGCACACTGAAAACTTGTCGTTTACTGTTTATGTAGGACCCAGAGGGTCCCAAAGCTCAAAGAAATCCTGTATTTTGGCTGGTCCCATCTGCAATCAAACATCCACAGGCTTTGGAAGCGGTCTAATGTGGCTTCCAGCATAGAACCCCTCTTACCATTCAGGACAGAAATAGAAATGTTGACTCCACGTGTTTGAACTAAAATTACTTGCTACATATGCATGAGACAGACTTGTCAGCTGAGGAAAACAAAATTGCCACTATTAGCTTTAAATTGCATGTGTTGTTTTCCATTCTAGTCTAGGCAGACTATCAAGATAACTTTGTGTTAGTTGTGTGCCAAGCTTTATGCCCAGTGAAGTAAACAGGTGCTTAAAATAAACAATCCTGAATGTGAAATATGCTCAGCTGTTCTGAGGAGGCTTTTTCTTGACAACATTGCAGACTGGGCTAATGCAAGAGATTTGCTGCCATGAAAGTCCCTATCTTATCAACCACCTCTTATCATGCAGTTTTGTACTATGACAGAATATCAGCAGCCCATTAGCAATGTCAAGCTGTCACGAATTCACACAGCAGTAACCTTTCCCACTGGCCATGCTATCCTACCACATTCTTTGCAGCGAATTAACTGGAATATTTAGTCAGGACTCCAGATGGATGGAGCCATATCCTAACTTGCTACCTGCTGTTTCATCAGCATTGCCCAGGCACTTCCCAACACCCTTTCCATCACATAACCTCTCATGTGCAGAAATGTCCTAACAAACTCCACATTTGTTGCCACAGATCGGATTACGCCATGAGTCCAATTCTCTCTCTCAAACCTGCATTTGATGGGGGTGTAACTCAAGCCACTTTGGCAGCACACCCAAAAAGGGAGGAGAAAAAAAAGTGAGGCTCTGGGTAGAGCACAACCCAGGAAGCCCTCTCCTCTCTGATCAAGTGGAACCTACTCCTTTGCTAGCACTGCCGGTTGCATGAGCCAGCAAGGAAGGATGCTGAGACAGCCTTGACACATGGAATGAGTTGATACCATTGGTAGTATTAATGGTTCCCTGGTGGGTTTTTTTTTTTAGCCAATAACTGCCAAGATCACACTGTGATAAACCCCTTTACGCATGCACAAGGTCAGCCCCAAGATGTCCCTTCCAACCCAAACTATTCTATGATTCTATGTGGTTTTTGTAAACAGGAACTACAGTTCCATAAAAACTGCTGAAATGCACCACGGGCAACGCCATTCACAGCATGTTCGTTAGCTCCAGGACATAGCAAGAACAGACAGCAGATACAAAACGGAACTGGTTGTCTTCTGCTGCTAGCCTTCCGGGTCTAGGCTGCTCTTTCTCCCCTTCTCTGCCTCACTCCACGTGCATAAAAGGGAGTCCCACAGAACCAGTTCTGTGCAGCTCAGTCTCTTCTCTCTTACTTTGACTAATACACACTTTTGCATGTTAGCCAAGAGTCTCTTCCAGGAAGAAGGGCTTTTCTACCAATTTACACAGAGCAGTGCTCCTGTAATACCTGAGCACCAAGTAACACTGAAGCACCAGCTGCAAATGTATATAGGAATTTGTTTATAAACTCTTCATACCTACCATGAGTGGCATATTGGTTTTGAACCTCAGCTGGTCTGGCACCAGTACTACAATTCTCTTTCATTAGACCATACCAGAAAAAGAAAACAGGACAATACACTTGGCCTGTATCAGGGTCTGGATTGCCCAACATGTTTGTGGCAACCTTCTACTGCAAGACTCAAAAAGCTCCCAGTTCACCCTCTAAAAATTGGGGTTCACAGAGGAGGGGTCCGAAGTCACTAAAACCTTCACAGAGCAAGACAACAAGTTAATGGTATACCACCTGGGCCCATCACAGCAGAAAATTCATCAGATGAAATTCACAGATCATCCTGTGCCACTGCTTCACAATCTCGATTACCAGACTCAATTAGCTAGTCATGATTAACTTGGAGCTTCAAGTTGTCACCTCCTTCTAGAAACAATGAATGGCTGATATGTCAATTAACGTTGACATATGAACCATTACTGATCTGTGTGAGCAAAACTTCAGTTGTCATCCTTCTTTATAAAACTTCAGAACCAGGGCTGGGTTCTATATCAGTATTACATTCAAGAGCTCTTTGACTAACTTATAATCCATACCAGGTAAACTTTATTCTTCACCTAACTATTCCTACTTAGATAAAACAAAACTTTGATATCAAATGCTCTAGTACCTTGGAAAGTGCAAATTCCAATCCAGTTTGGGATCCAAATTCATAACTAAAACACCCTAACTGTAGCAACAATCTTATCCACATTTACACTTGATTAAATTAGCAAAAAAGATCAACAAAAGCAAAATTGATATTAATCCTATGCCAGTCTGTAGGGCAGGGCACAGAGCTTTTTAACCAACTAAGAACATTGTGCGATCCCTCAAGGGATTAAAAAATTAATTCTCTAGCCCAAACTTAGTGCTGCACGTGATTTACCCCTAAGCAGTGCACAGGGAAGGTCCACAAACTCTCAGCTCCCCAGTACACAGTGCATATGCAACCCTCTCCCCTCCCCAAGTTTCCCAGCTGGAAGCTGCTTTGGCACAAGTTTCCCTGCCCAAGTATCTAGGCAAGGGGAAGGTGGCGGGGCAAGATTAGCACTGAGCTGAGCTCAGAAACAGAACTAACTTGGTACTCAGTTCAAAAAAGAGGCGGCCTTGACTTGTTTAAGCTTTTGAAGAGTCAAGGCTGCAATGCTAGCCAGGGGAAGTCCAAACTGAGAAAGGGGGCTCTGGGACAAACTGTTCAAAGTTGCCCAGCATGTGCAAGGACCAGCCCACCCTCCTGTGAGACACAGTCACTTCTTAGGTAATTGTCAGCAGTCGATCTAGGAAACAGTATCAGTTAATGGGCTTTGATTTTAAAGAGTTTTCTAGCTTCTTAAATGTAAATAGAATGAACTTTTTACTTAAATCCCTTTTAAAAAATCAAATGTCAGAATTACTTACTGAACATATGAATTATATATGGATGCTTACATTTGAGTTACATTTCCAGATCTGTTGTAATTACTGAAATTATTTCTAGTAGAAATGCCTGTATTAAGTCAGTGCACATTTATTTAAAAGCAGGTACCTCAGAATTACAGTAAATTATTGCCAACAAATCTAAAATGTAAACATTATATAGTTGTGCTACTCTTTGACTTTACCTTGTGAATTATTCAAAGAAGAGACAAAGCCATTTAGCAAAGCAATAAATAGTCTTCACAATTTAATATTTAAAAGTCATGGCAATTGTGCTGGTATTAGAAAACTTCAGAGGAAGAAAAAGATGACTAGAAGAGTAAGTAATCAAGCCACAATCCAGGAGCAAGCTGGACAGAAAGCTGGAATCTTCCTTACCTTTTTACCATTCACAAAGAAAACAAGTTCATCCCCTGTCTCGTTTGGAGCCATCCTGCACACCTTCCAAAATTCACTCAAATAGGGCCACAGACCACCCTTCCGAAAGCAGCCCTACACCCCACAGCGAAGTGAGCACCAGCGATACGACAAGTAATATGAGTCTGCCTCAAGAATGTTTGACTTGATTTCTACATCAGTGCCCTGTGAAACCCCATATTATATAAGAGCCAACGAAGAGGCGTGCCAGCTGCATTTGGTTGGTGCTTCTGCAGCAGTAATGACAGAAAAGGAGCTGGAACAAGCAGAGTGACCCGCCCCCTGTTATATAGCAATAGATCACAACTCAACTGCATTCCCTTTAGATTATACTGCCAGGCTTGGGGCACTCAGAGTGTGCCACTGCAACGGCTGCCAGGAATTCACTGTATTTTGCAATACAACGCAAACTCCAGGGGAGGGGGGGCGTTCTCCCAACTATCCCTCACCGAATATTGACAAGAAAAAGCCGTTTTCCCTGCTCTGTGCATAGCCATGCACCTGGCATTTACCATGCAGAGGTCTCTCATGAGAGCACCTGCTTATTTAAAAGCTCCTCGATACATGCACATCAGCTAGTAGACTGACTGCAAGACTATTTCAGTATTTTCCCTTAGAGTTTTAAAGCTACAGTGTCCTCCACCTGTGAGGACATAATTTAAACAGGTATGCATTTGTCCAGATAAAAGCAATTCTAGTGAACTGAAACTGATCCAGCACCTCAAAAGAGGTGCTGAGCTAAGACCATAATGTTTTCACTGGGCTCTTAAAGCTTTTGGACTTACCTTTTTTGGCTTAATCCTCACATCCTGGATCTTAGGTGCATGTCGCTAATGAAACACAAAAGAAAGCAATTCTTTGAAGAATTTTTTGTCTTCCATTTCCTTGGTGGTGGTTTCTTCTGGTTTCTCCATTACACAACTGTACATTTTGCATTGTTTACGTCTTCCTGTTTTTTCTTCCAAAGTTGTCGCAGAACTGTCCACAGACCCCTAGATATGACATGCATTGGTTTCATGAACAAAATATCTAAATCCCTAGTTCCAGTTTAAAATTCCTCCACAAAACAGCAGGATTCCAAAGTCTCATGGAAGTTTCCTAGCACTGTAGTTAATCCTGCCTGCTCCATTCTGATTTTTGTAACTTTGCTTTCCTTCTTCAGCATACCAGGCTTATTAGTTTCAGTTATTTTTTTTAATTTTCTTAAAATCCCTGGGAAAGCACTACATCAGTGTCCCTCCCAGGAACTTCTCTGAACAGTTCACAAAACAACAAAACCTAATTAAATTACCATTTTCAGAAACAGGCTTTCCTCCAGTATTTTGGAAATATGTCAGAGTGAATACAATACATTATTTTTACCAGCTTTTATCTTCTGACTCGTATTCTATTGCCCAGACTATCCCCTAGAAAAGCTATTTTATAACAAGTGTCAAATATTGTATCAGCACTTCTTTACAGGCATTCAGTTTGCTGAAAGTATAGTTCACAGCAAGCTTGTAGATTAAGGCAGCTGGTGTTAACCACATTTGCAGTGAAGTTGTGCATAGCTGAACCAGTACTGACACCTATTGTCTGGCACCTCCCACTTTGCAGTATAAGAGTATTAGAAAAATGACACTTTTCTCCAAGAAATCTTCAGCTCTGTTGCTTTGTATCTATGTGCAAATTTACACAAGCGCTACCCTCACGTAGCAAGCATCAATCTCTAAATTAGTGTACACAAGCTTAGTACTCGTAAATAGTTTTGTAATATTTTAAATAACAATTATTACTCATAACCACAGGTAGCATGTTACAGCAATCTCAAAGCAACTAGCCATTACAGCATTAACACCAAAATCAAACATGCTTAGTTTCTTAATCTGTGTTTTCCATAATGCACGATGTTGTTGTTACGTTTAAAGAACACTTGTGATCACATCATCTCATGTTTAAGGAATCCCATGTGCAAATTTTTGCCTAGCCTTAGTGATAACCTTATAGCTAAACTATCCCTTTCTGCTAAACCAGTGAACAGCATCTTATGATATTCCATCATAATGTTTATTTTTGACCCATCAACCTACTATATATGTAATATAAAAATAAACACATCCATGGTAGTGACCTCTATATGTAGATTACACAGTAATATAAAACTTCAGACCTAATCTCAACAGTGTCACTGCTCACACAATACCGAATTCGTTCCTTCTCTCACCACCCTGATGGGATAGTCTACTACTATACCCATTTCACATGCAAAGAACCAAGACACCTAGAACAGAAATTTTCCAAATCCTCTAAACTCTGGAGCATGAGAGCTTATGCTATTGAAGTCTCTTAATCATTTTTGGAAATCCCACCCTAAACAGAACAGAGGATTACCAGAAATGACAGAGAAGAAAGTGGGGAGGGGGGCCGGGAACCAAACCCTCAGTAAACTCCTAGAACATAAGATGATCTCCATTAGCATATACTCCCTTAAGTGAGCTAAAAATAAAAACTTGTCAATCAAACACAAATTGGTTATGAGACAAGGTATTCTGATTTACCGGTCAGTTAAAGTCTAGCAGATTTCCCATTTTAGAAATCATCCCTTTGCCCATTCATAACTCAGAGATGGGTACGTTTTAGAAGTTCAAAATTACGTGCAGTCTCACTTACTTATTAAAGAGCTCAGAAAGCAATTGATATTAGTCAAGAATAAAAAAAAGCAGCTGGCTTTTCTCATTCTGACTGGTTAATCCTGCAGATCTGGCTGTTGCAATCATAATGATAATCTACAGATGATCATATGCATAGCTCAATACAGTGAAATTTACGGAAACACCATTCCTGCCTAAGGAATTTACCACCAGAATTCGGTAAACACATGAAGGTACAACAACAAACCAATGCCAGAGGTAATAAAGGAAAAGGTTTAAAACAAACAAAGGTGAGAAGGTTTGTTGCTTTGTTCTCACGTTCCTACTGCAGGAATCATAGAATCATAGAATAGTTTGGGTTGGAACGGACCTCTAAAGGTCATCTAGTCCAACCCCCCTGCAATGAACAGGGACATCTTCAACTAGATCAGGTTGCTCAGAGCCCCGTCCAACCTGACCCTGAATGTTTCCAGGGATGGGGCATCCACCACCTCTCTGGGCAACCTGTGCCAGTGCTTCACCACCCTCAGCATCAAAAATTTCTTCCTTATATCTAGTCTAAATCTACCCCCCTTTAGTTTAAAGCCATTCCCCCTTGTCCTGTCGCAACAGGCCCTGCTAAAAAGTTCGCCCCCATCTTTTTTATAAGCCCCCTTTAAGTACTAATCAAATGAGAGGGAAGAAATTACAGGTAGCTCCGAAGAGGATTCTGTGGAGGGATTTATGAGGAACAGTTTGGTAAAGCAGGTAGTAAAGAAAAAGTCCCAAGCCAGTGCTTTAATACAGTACCCCATCTATCAAGCTTCCAGTGTTTTCACATTAACTCTGTGTGCCTGCTGCCCCTCTCTAATAGCTGGACTACTTCTACAAATTTATAAAGTATCCACTGTTGCTAAAACATGTGGACAGCATCTTTCAGCTGAAGTAGAAGTGACTTGTTTGCTTTAGATCTGGAGATGCCTCTTCAGTTATCCTTCAGATATCCTTTCGGGAGCATGCACTGGCACTCTTCTCAGGGATCTCAAGAGGTCTCCACCTGCTGAACTATGAGGGCATACCAGGTCAGTTAGGACTTTACACACCATCTCTCATTACTTCTTAAAGATTCCTTTTCAGAGCATAAACTATTAGTGGTTGTGTTGCTTTGTTGTGAGCGTTCTCTGTATAAGTTTAAAGAAAAAAATAAATCACAGTGTATTGATTACAGACTGTGAATGTGAAGGCAGAGAGTGTTGCCTGAGGATGTCTGTTCTCCCTTGGCATCACCTATTGACCACTCCTGAAGACAGGCTCCCGAAATAAGCGGACTTATCTGACTGGATAGGGACACTCATACTTCATTGGCAAAGTCTCCCAAAAGATCTTAAAGAAAAGCAATCTTTTCAGGATCCTAATACAGGCAGTAAACTTATTACTTTGCAATAACAAAAAAAATCCATAAAATTGCCACATGAGTATGAAAGTAAGGTATTGCTTATTTTTTCAAAGACATTTCTCAGGGTAAAAACAACAATCATAGGTTTCATGCACTTTATGAGGTGTCTAAATTCCTTTCTGGTTACAGATATAGGTTTGAAAAAGATCCAATTTATATTTGCTTTGTGACCATGATATCCTCATTGAGGTTTGTGAGTGGTTACTAGCTCATTATTTATGAATCACTAATCATTCAGTGTTCAGCTTATAATTGTATGAATATTGTCTAATTGTATGGATTCATTTCATGAATTATGATCTCTTCACCTGCATTTGAAGATGGGTGGAGTTTAATTATAGTTCTTTTCCTAGTCCTACCACCTGGCTTCCTCTGACTGCAAGAAGAAATGAACTAAGTTAGCTAATTCTGCCTTCTGTTGAGAAGTACTGGTTGTCATTAGTGTTCAGAACAATTAGCAAAGCAAGAATTTTGTTTCAATTCATTTGCAGTTTTTCTTTCATAACCTAGTTCCAGTGGACCAAACAAAGGATGTTTCAGATATCTGACCTGAAAAGCAACTTCTTTTCAAGCAGGCTTTTTAATGTGTTCCTTGTCTTCATCAGCAGCTAACTTGACACCTATCGCTTGTCTTTTATGATACCCTGGAAGCAAGTAAGAGAGAAACTTCAGACACCTTTCTTGATAATCTAACTCAATAAAATGAGTAAGGTATTTTAATCTCTCTTCTTGGCCTTTCTTTCTCTTCATCTGCTGATATTCTAGGAGTATCCTTTGTATTTAGTCATTATAACTCTGTCCCAGGATGCACCAGAAAGCAGGGTCCCCTTGCAGAGACTGGTTGCTGTCTTTGTCACAGGTGGAAGCATTGTCTCCAGTGGGTGTTTCAAGGAGGAACAGCTGGGGGTGGGGGGGCATCTGCAACAACCATGTAGAGCTCTTCATTCTTCTGAACAGCTGCTAAAGCACCTCCTCTCTGGCATCAAATAATACCCCGATATTCCAAGATCCCTGAGCAGGCAAGTAGGAGCTTCTGGACCAGTCTAAATAAGTAAAAGCTAGTTCCCATACCTAGCTTGCATAGC